ATCTTTGATACGTACAAGTAGTTTGTATAGGCACTAGTTAATTTTCTGTTAATATGATTTTGATGAAAATAACACGACCTTGTTATATCCGCATTGTTATCATTGTTTTTGGTATAATAAAACCACGATTTTCGAGGATTGTTATCAATTTTTGATTCGTAAAAATCATGTTGCCTCATCTTATGCCAGCCGACACTAATTAAAAGTATGAAGTTCAGCTAAATTGTTAAATAAACAGCCATCGCTGCGTTTCGTTAAAACATCGACGAGATGTTCGCATTGTCATTGTTTTCAAATTATTGTAATATTCTAGGGACGGCTATATGCTCGTAATACTAACGGTATTATTTCTATAACACGAAGCAGGTGGAAGGCCTTAAAATTTTGTAATACGGTGATTTCTTGAGCTTCGTTTAGATTCAGCTATCGAGATCAAAAATGTTAGGAAAAGAGATTGCTGCAATTTCGGGCCACTATTTTTTATAACCTGAACAGGGTAAATTAAGTTCGTCACGAAGTTTGCAACACTCAGAAGAAAGCGGAAACGGAGACCCTATAAAGTATATATAGAAATGATCAGCGAGTCGATTTAGAAATGTTCGTCTGTCTCTACGCCTGAAATTTTGCGCACGTTCTTTTCTCACGAAGAAGCTGCTCATTTGTCGGTACCGCCGAGATATAACAGTCATACAAACTGAGCGATCAAACTCAAGTCATTGTATGAAAAACTTAATTATTTTAGAAGACATTTTCACGAAATTTGGATTGTCCAAAGCCAGCAGTACAACCTCCGAAGAAATAATTTAGGTCGGAGCACTATAGAATATAACTGTTATACGAGCTGATAGATCAAAATCAAATTCCTGTAAGAAAACTTGAACCCGTAAAGCGTATTAGAGCTTCGGTGAAGCCGAAATTAATGTTTTTTCTTGTTTATGTTGCGTTGGACTGTTTGGGACGTCATGGAAAAAGCGAGCCTTGCTTAAAATTACTCTAAAAGTTTGGCAGTTCGTTTCGATTTTGTCGTCCTTATCAGTTTTGTTCGGAATCAATTATCGTCATTATTTAAAAATAAGAACTACAAGTATATGCCACAAAGCTCATTGTGATCCATTTTAAATTTAGAGTGGTGAGTCGTTTATAAACTAAAAAAGTATCTTTTATTCAAATTTTGAGATTTTCGTTTGTTTCCATTTCAACTTGTATAATTAAAATAAAAAACTTTGGTTTCAAATCAGAAAATATGTTTCAGACATTTTCTACGACAATAGAAAGTGTAGCCTAAGTTTAAGCGTGTGCTGAGGATTAACGAAAATGTTTTTCGCGCTAGAAGAACACTTGAGCGTCTGGAATTACTTTTCTTAAATCAAATACTGTAAGAAACGAACTTCTATTTGATCGAAAGATCCGTATGTTGCCTAAACTCTTTTTACAACTTTGTTTAGGCCTATATTGTTACCAAATTCATTATGACAACTTAGTATCGGTTCAAAAACAGTTTTTACATTTCGCTTTACGTCATTCCGCTATGTTAAGTCTACCTCAATATAAAGTCATTTCAAACTTATAAATCAACCTACACTTACTAGTCTTAGGGAAATCCTGAATGGAACAGTTCTTTTATCTTTTTTTTCTTTTCTCTTGTCTGAAGTTAAATTGAACAGCCCGGTTAGCATTTTGAGGTCGGATTGGTTGGGGGAAAGAGGTTAATCTTTGGGTAATTATTATTATTTTAGACTTGTGTCACGCCAATCGTGTGGCTGGTCTTCGACTGTTTTGAGCGAAGAGTATAAACACTTGCATTTATTAGGCAATTCCAAGAGAGTATTACCGGGAATTGCTATGAATTTTACGTTTTACAAAACTTAAGGTCAACAACGCCTATCTTACTTATTATTTATGGAATAGAAAATCTTGCTGCCAAACTGTTGACGCTGTATAACGTCAAACCGGATTTGGAACGCACACCTAGTCTTTTGTGCACCCTAATATCCGTAGATACATACATAACTACGTAAGTATGGGTTTGTGTGTATGTATGTGTATGTGTGGGTAGAAACTTTAAAAATAATTTTAAATTCAACTGCGGTTTCATCATTCAAAATCAGTCGTAAAAATATTTTATTATGTAATGAAAAGATTTTTTGAATGATGTTTGTATGTATGGGCATGTACTCGTATGTGTGTGTCTCTATGCACTCGCACAGAATAACCAATTGTCATAATGCAACTACAAATAATAGCTTATTAATTTAATATTGATTGAAAGTATAGAAGCCCGAGAACTGACACTGAATAATAGTAAGCGGACATTGCATGAAATACATAACAACATTGGCGACAACATGACAATAATGCTAAAATTCGCCACGAAGCCACTGACAGCGCTGTGCGAATTCCCAGCGCTACAGCAATTATATTTTGCGATTTCAGTTATACTATATACTATATTATAATGTATTTGCATAAAAACTATTTATGCTTGAAATAATAAATATTAAATGCAATTTCAGTTGACACAGTTGCACTTTTTGGGTCAGTCGATATTGCAAGTTTCACAAGAAGGTGTTTAGGTTTTAAATGGCGTGCACTTAATATATGGTATAAATAGGAGATCCCAGCTGCAAATTGCTATTTTAGTACAGATATGATAATTTGAATAATTACTCACATTAAAATGGCACAGTCATACGCTCAGGAGCACTCTTCGAAGAAGACTGCAACCATCTAGACTCGGTTTATTGAAATCATAGTTGCAATTTATGAGCATTTATTATGAATACATATGTATGTACAATACCTCAATGAGTAATATGAGTCAAACTCCTTTATCGATAATGATCAAAAATCCTGAACGAACGAAATTTTCTTTGGTATCTGAGCGCTCTTTAGTTAAAAAATTTTTTTTACCAATTTTTCTCTATGTTATTGGCTTTCAAGTTCACCACACGTAAGAAGTGTAGAAATAGAGTTTGCAACAGTTTGCCCCGTACCCTATTTTGGAGTGCAATTGACAGTAAAAATATTAGTTGGTGATGTCACAAAAGAAAGTTTAGCAGTTCTATTGTTTTGGAGCGCACACAAAAGAGCTAAAAGCCAATCCAAATGCCTAAATTTTGCAACTATTTCCTCATCCAGCCCTAGCTCTTAGAAATTGAAAGTATCAAATATATTGATCAACGAAATTTTCGACAAGGTTGCATAGGTTAGATTCAATAGCTGATCCAGATATCACACGTGGACCCCTATATGCAGTTCCTTGTAGCGCCAAAAAAGCAGAACTTCTGTATTCAATCTTACAAGTCAGCAAAGCGCCTAGTGGCTAATACAAATTGGCTTAGGCGTTTAATTGCAATTACCACCAGCTTGGATGAATATCTGAAAGATTGATCCCTTAAGTGTTTAAGCCTTGATCTCACAAACGCGTGGCAATCAAGAAAGAAATGTTATGATGTTTCCACCTCGTCTTCCTCTATATACAAGTAGCTGTCTGCAGCTGGCATCCAGTAAGATCTCAACCTTAAAGCATGGACGCCAATAGGGTCTTTCCTTTCCAGCTCATCAGCTTCACAGTTAACTGTGGCTCCACTGTAGCCTGGGACAAAGTAGTAGTAGTAGTAGTAGTAGTCTTATCACAAAGTGACTTGTTGCATAGGAACATTGATTTAAAAGCGAATATTTGATCTACTTTTTTGAGGATGAACTGATCGAGTTTTGATAACACACCCTTTGCTAACTCGTTTCGAAAAAGGATATTACCTATAGATTATTAAACTATAGACTTTCCTATATTTTTGGTCGGCAAAACTCCTCATTGCTGTATTTTTCGCGGGTTTGTATTTCCCCATTCATTCCCTTAAGATGGACTACTTTATATGCAACCTCAGAAGGATGTGAATGGAATGGTGGAATACATCAACCATTGCTAATCAGGTACTTGGGGATAGGCGCTGAGGGTTGAAGGAAGAGGTGAAACGGTTTACTTGGGCCAGAGGAGATGAAAAACGGGCGAGCACATTTCGCCACACGCAATTGGTGCAGTGCCTCGTATCCAGCCATTTTCCAAGGCTTCTGCACTGGTCTGTATGAAAAATTCATCGGATGATATTACCAATAACTTTACAGCTGTGCAGTGTTCAATAACCAAATTTTAACAGACCTTTCCAAAAATGTTATGTCTTGTTTAAGCGCCATTAGTTAATTCAGACATCCATTATAGAGGTTCGGTGTCACACCGAAGAAATATCTGCAAGCCACCATCCCATCATTCTTTTCGTGGGAACGTCGACCAACATAAATACTTATACATGGGAATATTATTAATGTTCTGCAATCATATTAAAATAACTAAATTGTATTTTACTTCAATATTAAATATTAAAAAATAAAATTATTACTAATTTATGAGCAAACTTTATTTCATTACATTAACATTTAATATTGAATTTATAAGCGAATTTTCATGTATAATTAAAACCACTATACAAGTATTTATTTGCTATGTACAGCCGTCGAAAGCAATTATGATGCTCATTCATAGTTGTTTTTATAAATATCATAGAGTTTGGAAAAACCTTTATGTATATGTATATGTGACATGGTGTGTTTGAGCTCGTCTACTGAGCGTGCGCCACCGCTTTATTAAATGACTTTTGGTTTGTTTGTTTACCTTACTCGTATTTGTTGTACGAGTAGATCTGCTCGTATGCTTCGTTGCTGTTATTGTTGTTCTTGTTGTTGTTGCGGAGTCTCAGGTCGCTTAGACTGCGATGACGCTGCTATTGAGGTTGCCGGTGGCTTAGCGGATTGACAACTTAGCCAGCCACTGAATCTAATATTTCTGTAAGGGAAAGAGCCTAAGGTATTCGCATTTGATGCTACTGTGGAGAAGCAATTGAGATGACGCGACTGCGCGCGCGAGAGTTGGGATTCCCTAGCACCGTAGCATCCATGAACCGCTCGATTTTCATATAAATTGAGCTGAGCGAGAACAATTGGTCAGCATTCGGTGATCGGGCGTGCAACAGTTGTGAACCAACTACAAAGTGAATTTCGAACTCCAAACGTTTAGTGATAATTTAAACATTTAATTACGGATTATATGAATAATATATAATTATACACCCAAGGATCGCTAAAAATATTACGTAACTTTCTTTAGTCGGGTACTAGCGACCGAAACTTGAGAATGGTGAGTTAAGGCAAAGCAGCGTTTAAGAAATAATCATAATGGGCATCTTAATTTCGCAATACGGTAACTTGCACTAGACAAGTATCTATTTTGCAACATGCAGAGGCACATATGTGTATATACATATTTACATAAGTATATTCATACGTACGCTTGTGGCGTTGGCTAACTATTAGCGCGAAATGTGATTTATGACCAAGTGTGACGCTATGTGCTTAGCAACAAAATTTATGTCATAGGTAAAGACAAAGAATACCTGGCAATACTGAAAATGGAAAATGAAAAGTTGAAGACCAACGTCTGTCTGTCTTGTTGCTAAAATAATAGAAACAACAATAATTTCTTAACAACCAAATATAGCGAATCTCTATTTATACAGCCAAGTATTTTAGGCGTATAACGGAGGGTTGACTCGGAAACTACAACGCTAGCTACAATAATGGAAACACAACTTGTGATGGAGAAATTCAGTTATGTCGTAGCAAAATTTTTTTTTTGTTAGAAAAAAAAAAAACAAACGAACAAAATATTGACTCTAATGCGGTTTTTTGTTTCTTTGCCTACAATGCTATGGCGTTATTGCCGGGCTTATTTCGAAATCGTGACATGAAGCACACTGCAATTGCAATGCAAAGGCAGCTCAATGCACAATCAGTTCCCAGCTTATTGAGAATACCATCACGAAATAGTGAAGTGGTACAAAACCATAACTTTTAAGGGCGGCATAGATTCAGCTAACGTAATAACATTTTTTTTTTAATTTTTACAAATTTTTGCATTTTGATACAGGCATGTTTATGCGAGTTTGAGACTGTGCATCGTTGATTTGTTTGTTGATTGAAGACGCTTTGATTGTTTTTAACTGATTTGAATAGTGAAGGCGACCAAAGTGTACTATGATTTAATGACTAGTTTGCGGATACACTATACATTGTTAGCAATTATGACTTGCGTAATACCTGCCTGCCAAATTTGACTTGTGTACATGTGATACATACATACATCAAAATATATAATGTTTATATTTTATTGCACGGCACCTAAAAATTTTGTAAAATTTCATATATTTTACAGAAATTATTTCTACTTCTGCTGGCATTAGCTGCCGCTGGTGCGCATGCTGATGTCTCACACTTGAGTAGCGACTTACAGGAGGATGGTTATCATTACCAGCAGCCTTCGGTGCCTTTCCCAGCACCACCTTCGGGCAATGGCATAGATGATGTACAATACCAACCAAGACCACAGCCACAGCCATCGTACCCTGCACCACGTCCGCAGCCACAACCACAGCCGCAGCCAACGTATCCAGCACCACGCCCACAGCCACAACCGCAACCGCAGCCACAACCAAGACCTCAACCTTCATATCCAGCTCCTTCACAGCCATCATATCCAGCACCACGCCCACAGCCTCAGCCGCAACCGCAGCCACAACCAAGGCCTCAACCTTCATATCCAGCTCCCTCACAGCCCACACAGCCATCCCCTCGTCCACAACCTCAACCTAGTCGTCCAGCGCCAGCACCACAACCAGGTCCGGAATATTTGCCCCCAGAGCAACCACAACAGCCAAGACCTCGTCCTCAACCACAGCCACGCCCACAACCTCAACCCCAGCCCTCGTATCCTACACCAAGGCCCCAACCACAACCCCAGCCGTCATATCCTGCTCCACGTCCTCAACAACAACCTCAACCACGACCACAGCCACAACCGCGTCCACAACCTCAGGCAACACCTGGCCCTGAGTATATACCCCCAGCTGAACCAACTACTGGTCCAACTTATCAACCACGGCCACAACCACCCAGTCCTGGTCCAACTTATCAACCACGACCACAACTACCCAGTCCTGGTCCAACTTATCAGCCACGACCACAACCACCCAGTCCTGGTCCAACTTATCAACCACGACCACAACAACCCACTCCTGGCTCAACTTATCAGCCACGGCCACAGCAACCCACTCCTGGACCAACATTCCAACCACGACCACAACAACCCACTCCTGGTCCAACTTATCAACCACGGCCACAGCAACCCACTCCTGGACCAACATACCAGCCACGTCCACAACCACAACCAAAACCATCGCAACCTGCCAAACCCGGTCCAGAATATTTGCCACCACCTGGTGAAAATGAAGTAGGCCCAAAACAGCCGACACCTCGCCCTCAACCCCAACCTCGTCCGTCGCGACCCAGCCAACCGGCACCTCGACCAACCTACCCTGCTCCTCAGCCTAGTTATCCGGGACCACAGTCAACGCAACCAGAACCAACGTACCCAGAAGGTCCAGGTGGTCCAAGCGGTCCAGGTGGTCCAAGCGGTCCAGGTGGTCCCGGAGGTCCAAGCGGTCCAGGAGGCCCAGGCGGTTCATATGGTCCAGGTGGTCCAAGCGGTCCAAGTGGTCCACAAGGCCCAGGTGGTCCAGGAGGCCCAGGCAGTTCATATGGCCCAGGTAGTCCAGAAGGCCCAGGAGGACCAAGCGGTCCATACGGTCCAGGAGGACCAGGTGGACCAAGCGGTCCACAAGGCCCAGGAGGTCCAAGCGGTCCAGGAGGACCAAGCGGTCCAGGAGGACCAGGTGGTCCAAGTGGTCCACAAGGGCCGGGTGGTCCAGGGGGCCCAGGCGGTTCATATGGTCCAGAAGGACCCGGCGGTCCAAGTGGCCCACAAGGCCCGGGTGGTCCAGGAGGTCCAAGCGGTTCATATGGTCCAGGGGGCCCTGGTGGACCAACAGGACCTAGCGGTCCCGAGGCAGGATCTCTCGGACCTGATGGTTATAACTACAACAAACCAGCTAGACCCTTCTCATATTAAAATAATGTACTCAACACATGAAACTCGCCCATTTAGTATTATAAACAACAACGAAATTTTTATGCAGAATTTAATAGTAAAAAGTAAAAAAACAATAAAAACGAAAATTAATGTATGAGCAACATGTCTTCCATACTGTCTAAAAAGAGACAAACTGAGAGATTGTTTACCACGGACGCGAATGCCAGTTGACATTTACGTAAAATATAAATTATATGACTATTTAAAAATAAATTTTACTATAAAAAAAATCCGTGTTCAATGTTAATTATCAATGGGTTAAGCGAAAACGATAAAACTCGCAATGTCAAGTAAATTTTGTAAGCACAAATGAGAAAATTACTTAACGAATGTACGAGTGTGTATGTTCCAGCTATAACCCCCGTGGTCAAGGGGCGACAGTTGTTTTTTATGCAGACGGAACTATTGTATTTGTTTTTTTTGCATATAAATTTGTAGCGAATTTGAGTACACATATAAAATCCACCTTGTTTACAATTCGTCAACGGTTTTTGATCAGCACTTACATCTCCGCTTACATATACCGTTAATTCAATTTGAAAATTAGCTTATTTGCTTGGACGTAAAGGCGTCCAATTCATTCATACTCATGTTTTTCTTAGTACGTCTTTGAAAAGGGAGCCTTTGGATAAATTATCATTTATGACAATCATTTCGATACAATCACGCCTTATGTTATCACTTATGGTCAGGAATTAAGCTTTATTATGAATATAAGGATTTGATATTATGCCAATTCCGGCACGAAAAGTCATCAATTATGGCTCTACAGCGTTTGAAGAAATATGGAACAATCATTCCCTCTGACCATAGAGCACAATAAACAGTTCCGTTTTGAGGATGTAACGGTTTCTCAATAATAATTTGTGGATTATAATCATTTTAAATGCAACAACTTTGTTTATTGACGTATCCGTTCAACCAAAAGACCCATTCATCGCTGAAAAAAATTTTCTTGTGAAAATCGGAATCAGTGGTCATGTCGTTTTGAGCGCATTCACCGAACGTGCAGCGCGCTTGATGGTCGTTCGCCTTCAATTCTTGAACGAGTTGGAGTTTGTAAGCCCACAAAGATAAATCCTTCGGCGAAATCTTCCATAAAGTGAATAGACACAGCACAGCACAATTTTTGCGCGCGATGACGGATGAACTCATTCGGGTCTTCTTCGACAGTCGACCCCACAGCAACAATAGCATCTTCGGTGCGCACGATGCGGCATCTTTGAAGATGTGTATTATCTACTAGAGTAAATGTAAACGAAGCCGATCTATGGTTGCTCGAATTACCGACTATGCCGAGCTGTTATGACGATCGAATAGTGGACGCCGCATGAGATGCTTTGTACGAGCCGAACCATTATTTTGGTAATACATTTGCATCGATTTACAAACGTTGTTCCCGAGTAGGTCTGTTCACTATGATTAACCAAACTGAGTATAAATAAAAAGTAACAGGTGTCAAAAAGACCAGCTCAGAAAAAAGTATTGCCTCATTGAAAACAACGCATCTAAAAAAAGCACTCATTATTTTGCAGTTTAAGCAAACCTTTAAAAGATGCATCTTGCTTCCAAGGCTGTAGGCCACAAATGCATAAGAAATGTGGTTTAAAGGTTATGCTCCTAAGAAGGCTTTAGTTCAAAAAACTGACAAAAACGTTTGGCTTCCACGGACATTTATGTTTTGGATGTGAGAACTAGCAAAGGAAATTTGATGACTTAAGCTAAATAGTTATTTTCATTCGTGGGAATACCATAATTTCTGTGCAAAATTAATTACTGCCACAAAAAATTTACTATAATTCATTATGCATGAGGAAATACTTTATGAAGAAATTGCAATTGCTTTTGTTCATATAATTTTTTTTGTAAGCTAATGTATATATACAAATATATATAGTATATATATGTATATAAATATATATGCTTTGTGTAGGTTTGTGATAGTGACTGCATATAAATTCTCCACGGACATAAATGTGGCCAGACAATTATATGAGCATACGTAATAGTTAATGGACAAGATTTAATAGCATCGGGTGAGTGGATGGTTGCTTCATGCACAACGTTAGATTTCTAGTTCCTGCTCTCCTCCCAATGATGCTGCATTTTTATAATAGTTCCATATTCAAGTTTGCAATATTTTACTATATATGGACAATAATCGAAGTGCTTAATTGGACTAAAAGCGCTGGATTGATTGCCCAGCTGTGAGCAATTGAAAAATGAATTTGAAAAATCAATACAAATAACTGTGCCTACTTATAGGTAAGAAACATCTAGTTAAACATATACATTTTTAGGTAATAGGCTAGTCTCCATAAACCAGAATAAAATATTGCTGTTAAATATTGCAATAAAATAAATCTTCCTCTTCTTTGGCACTACAACCGTGGGTCGGTCTGGGCCGAGAACTCAAAACTTCGTCAATTGTACATCCCAAGTGCATGGAGGTTCTTATCATTGTATGCGTGGGTGCTCCTGCTACCGTTGTCCACCTACGGGTCTCGAATCGAAGGAGCTTTTCGCTGGAGCATCATCTTTCATGCGTACAACATGACCTAATTGGCGCATTCGTTGCTGTAGTCATCGAGAATGATCTTAACATCGTGGCAGTGACATTTCACATACGTTTCATTCAAGCGTTTTTAGAACTCTTCTTTGGTATCGTCGTCTTTTTCTTCGGTCGGGCCGCACCTCTTGGTGAACAGATGGTGCAACCTTGTTGAGCACTTAAGCCTCAACCTTAAGTTTACCTCGGAGTGGCCACATCAAGGTTCCCCCTCCCTTAGCCGTGACCCTGAGATCTACACGGGAAATTTCATTTATTTTAATATTAATTCAATGCAATCTTAAACGTCAAATGACCTAAATATGAGTTCCTTCAATGTTGTTATACCTTTTGATACTCCAGAATATATTAAGTTTTCCACAAAGTTTGTAACAACTATGTATACCATATATACCACAAACGAGCATTTAGCCATTGCCGTATTTACGCAAACTAGACCCTCAAGAGATATCGATATGAAATTTTGCACCTGTCATTTTCTCCTAAAGAAGCTGCTCATTTGTCGGAACCGCCGATATCGGGCAACTATAGCATATTGCTGCCATATAAACTGATCGATCAAAATCAAGTTTGAAATGGAATATTTTGCATTTGTACAGGGTATTCAGACGAAGTTAACGTTTTTTCTTGTTTTTTTTTTTACAAAATAACAAACAGTTTTATTTCCCGTCCCGTAGTACATATATGCTTGAATGAATCATTACAAGAAATGGTCCAAGTGTTCAAATCGTCATTTCGCGCTATTAAGTGCATTTACGTGACACTAATTCTATGCATAAATTGAAATAAATTATATTCTCATTAAGACCTTGCATTTATTCGCAGTTCCTAGTGAAAACATGAATTTGAAATATGAAGCCTTGCATAGAGACGAGCTTCGTTGGCTCGATTATACCGAACTATCAAAACTAATTAAAATCATGTCGAGTGCAGGTAAAAGTTCTGTCTTCACAAAACATGGTTTTAAATCACATTTACATACGAGTACAAACATATGTATGTATGGCGAATTAAAGAAATTAAGCAACAATGTTCGATCGCCAGCCTTGGCATTCTATTATTCTATTTGGCGAACTCGTGAGCTTTTCGTGTACTAAAGTGTAGTCATAAGCGTCGCATGAGTTGGAAGCGTTTGAAGAAGCATTCATATTTATGTACGAGCTGTGGGAATGTGGTCTGTGGTAGACGGCGTTGGGCTGTTCGACGAAATATTTATGATTTGTGCAGATACGGGAACTGAAAAAGTCAATTTCTGTCAGCATTGACAGCCAACACCTGACAATTCACTCTTCGACGTTCGCTGTAATTAATGAGCAGCTTCACTGTGGCATTGTGTGTAAATTGCATGCAGAAGCAACCGTTTGTGGTTGATGGCAACAAGTAGCTGTTTCTATTTGCATTAGGGAGACACGGTATTATTTGAGGAATGTGCTAAAAAATAAAATTATCTAACATTCAATATATTACCTGTCCAAAAAAAAAACTAAAATTTGATCTGTCGTTTGGACCTCCTTAGAAACAGTTTCCATTTACAGCCGCAATAATACTCAATCGCAAGGGTTAATTTGAAGAGAAATCATATATGTGTATGTAGTGCTTATCATACGCCTCCGTTCTCTATACTTAATTTAGCGAAGCGCGAAAAATAATAATTTCGAAACTTTTAAATAACGCCCTTAAATGTAAAAGTTAAATTTCATAACTTCGTTAGTCGTCATTCCCATAACGTTAATATGCTTCAACTCTCACAGAACTGCCAGAAACAAATATATGAAATATCTACCAATTACATATATTTTTTTATTTTACAAGTTCACAAGTACGTACAAATAAACATAAATATAGTATGTGACTTAATTTTCTTTTGTAAATATGCGAAATTTAAAAATTTGCAAAATACCACAGATATGCCATGAACTAAAAATAAGAGAAAAACATTAATTTCGGTTGCACCGAAGCCAGAATACCCTTCTCAAATTAAGAAGTTTCTACACAAGAACTTAATTTGGATCAATTAGTTTGAGCGGCACATATATAATTTGGTCGTTCTTCAAATATTCTAGCGTTGCCATGGACATTAACCTATGTCAAATTTCGTGAAGATATCTTGTCAAAAAAAAGAAAATAATTTTTCAATAAGAACTCAATTTTGATCCGACAGTTTGTAAGGCAGCTAAATTATATAGTGTTTCATCGGAGATTGCACGCATGCCACATTTTCGTGGAAGTATCTCCCCAAATGAAATTGTGTAACACACAAGCACTTGATTCCGATCGTTCAGTTTGTATGGCAGAAATATACTATAGTGGCCCGATATCGGCCTTTCCGACAAATGAGCAGCTCTTGGTGATAAAAGGGCGTGTGCAAAATTTCACATCGATATCTCAAAAACTGTGAGACGAACTCACATAAAAGTATACAGACTTGGCTAAATCGACCAAGTTCGTTATGATCTTTTATATGCTACATACATACTTGTATATTCTTTATATGGTCTCTTTCGTTTTTTTGGGTGTTACAAACA